CTCCGCCTCCTGGGTTCAGGCAATTCTCCTGCCTCAGCCTCCTGAGTAGCTGGGATTACAGGCACGCACCACCATGCCCAGCTCATTTTTTGTAGCTTTAGTAGAGACGGGGTTTCACCATGTTGACCAGGATCGTCTCGATCTCTTGACCTTGTGATCCACCCGCCTCGGCCTCCCAAAGTGCTGGGATTACAGGCTTGAGCCACCACGCCCGGCCAGTTTTCCATACTTTTCAGTAAGAGAAGACACATTAGAGGTCAGAATATGTCTGGAGCAAGCCAAGTCCTTGCCATACCCAGACAGGTTTTCTCCATGCATTCACTAAACCGCCTGATGTGCTGGAAAAAACAAATTGATTTTTTTTCCTTGCATCCTACATTTTTCTAGTAAGCTCATTCTCCTACACTCCACAATGACTTTCAAATGTTCTACAATATTCTCAAATTTCTCACAACTGGATCCTCAATTGGATCCTGGATAATCCCTTATCCCCAGCAGTTAGCACATCCTCTCCTCTTTACAATCACGTCTGTGAAAAATACTGTATAGATTCACTGCCTGCATTTTCTTGTCCAAACCCTTGCCTCATATCTGGCTTTTGGCCCAATTACACCCACAAAATAACTCTTGCTAAGGTTACCATGACCTCCATGATGATAAAAGCCAAAATATATTTTTCAATCCTCATGTTAAATTCTAGACGTTTCTATCACAAATCATTCTTTTGCTTCTGAGACATTCCTCCAGTCCTCCTTCCTTCTCTAACTCTCATAGGTTCATCCACCTGTTCTTCACCATTAAATGTTGGAACTAGTTAGGTTCTGACTTAGGTGACCTTACCCACACCTATGGCTCAATTCGTGTATATACAAATTATCCCCAACTTTATATTCCCAACACAAATCCCTCTTCTAAGCACCAAAGCTGTATTTCAAACTGCCTCTTGGATGTCATGAATGACCCCACAAAATCAATCAGTCGATCATTCAATGAAAACTGGTCTCAGCTGTGAGCAGTGGCTCAGGCCTCGTAATGAACTTTCAGAGGCTGAGGCAGGCCACTTGAGGCTAGGAGTTCGAGGCCAGCCTGACCCATATAGAGAAACCCCGTCTTCACCAAAAATACAAAAATTGGACGGGCATGGTGGTGGGCACCTGTAATCCCAGCTACTGGGGAGGCTGAGGCACGAGAATCGCTTGAACCTGGGAAGCGGAGGTTGCAGTAAGCCAAGATCGTACCACCGCACTCCAGCCTGGGCAACAGAGCGAGACCATGTCTAAAAAACAAAATAAAAAAATAAAACTGGTCTCTAGTCATCTTCTAGTGTTCCCTATCCAGCTTGAGGGATTCCGTGATAGTGAGTGAATGGTACCACCACCTATTCAACTATGTAAGCCAGAAATCTAGGAGTTACCTTTGATTGCTCTCGTCACTCCCTAAAATCAACCCATCACCAAGTCCCACCCGTTTTATCTCCTATATACCTCTGTAATCTGTCCAGTTCTCTGCAGTTCCACCCATGTCTCAGTCCTCACTGACATCTCTAACCAGGATTACTGCATATCCTAAGTGGTCTATATACAGCCACTAGGGCTTCCTCGACCCCAATCTGTTCACACCACTGAGCCCGAAAGATCAAGCCCCCTCCTCCACCACATCCCACTGTGGGAAGACGGCTCAGTGGTATCTCATCCGTTTTAAAATAAAAGCTACAAATTTCTGCAAGGTCTGACCGCTATCACAGTTTCATCTTGTGCCATACTCCCCTTCATTTTCTTTGTACCAGCCACACTGGTTCTTTGTGTTTTTAGCCATTTTCCTCCCAAGTGCCTCAGGGCTTGGGAGGAAAATGAACAAGCAGTTCTCTATGGAAGGTTCTGCCTTCGCCTCTTCTCCTAATTAATTACAATTCTTCCTGCAGCTACCAGCGCAGGCATCTTTTCCTCTGAAAAACCTTCCTGCTTATTTCAGGCACTCATAGCATCGATGCAGCACTAGGAGGCACTTCCATGTACTAGTGAGGTCACTGTTTAACGTTTTCCCCACCAGACTTAAACGCCTTGAGAGTAGGGACGGTGCCTGGTTCACAACGTATCCCCAACGCGCTGCACAATAAATCAGCTGGACGACTGAGGAAATGACCACGTTCATGGGCATGAGTCTCAAATTTCTCAACAAGACTGTCTGGAGAAGGAGCCGGACATTTCCTTCATCACGGTCTCTCTCAGCGGAGCATAGAGTAGGCCCTAATCAAAAACTGCAAAATCAGTGGCAGAAACAAGTCAGTCTCCTCGGCCAAACGGGGCACCGCTGGAGGCTGGACACAGGCCCTTCTCCCCGGGAATGCCCGGCACAGGACTGGCCACGATGGGCGCTCTTGAAGAAGAGAGCCGCGGGGGCTGGGTCCTGCCGCCGAGACCCCAAGGCTCCGCTCCTGCCCGGAAAGGGAGCCCAGGCTACTACTTACCAGAGCTGGGGACTCGGGGCCCGCCTCCCACCCCTCGCTATCAGCACCCTCAGCTGAGAAGGGCAGGCTCAGACTGCACAACAGAGGCGTCGCCTCCAGACTCAGGCAGCCACCCACCCCGCTCTTCCTCATACGTACTAGGCGTCGGCTCCTGGTCCCCAAATCGCGGCGTTGAACTAAACGCCTAACTCAGTCAGCCAGCGCGTTTCCACCCACAACACCCAGCGCGCCTAGGAAGGTCGCCAGCTCCGTTCACCAATCCTGGAATCGCGCTCTCATGACGTCAGAAAGATAGGGCCAATAACAAGAGACTATCTGGAGGGCGGTGCAAATGGGAATATTGAAAGCCGATTGGTTCTTCAAGCTGGAAGTTGTGGAGGAAGGACTAAGTTGAAACCAATTGCGTGGCGCCTGAGGGCTGCAGCGCGTTCCGTGGCGGCGCTGAAGAGACCGGTTGCCGCCATGATAGAACAGCAGAAGCGTAAGGGCCCAGAGTTGCCGCTGGTCCCAGTCAAGCGGCAGCGACATGAGTTGCTGTTGGGAGCGACGGGGTCGGGCCCCGGAGCCGGGCAGCAGCAGGCGACACCGGGAGCTTTGCTGCAAGCGGTAAGTGAAGAAGCAGGCGGCCTTTGGCCCTCAGCTCATCTTCCTCTCCTCTCGTAGCGCTGTGTCTGGTGACCCCGCACCGACCCTTTCCCGCATTGCGGGGACAGAACGAGAGTTTCCCCCTAAAGTTAAAGCACATGTACACTAAGCGCCCCATAGCCCGCGGATACTCCGTACAAGTTCCCCTGTTTGGCGCTCGTTTTCAGCCTCTCGACTGCCCTGTGAGGTAGCTTTAGAATTAGAGTTGAATTAGAACCTTGGGCTCAAAACCCGAGCCCGGGTTTGAGCATCCTAACTCACATGGATCTAGCTCGCATAGAACAAAAGTTCAGAAAAGCTTGTAGAATGAATGAATGAGGGAGGGAGGAAAGAAGGGAAATGATTGGGGTTGGCTGCTTTTCCCTTTGTTTTTCTGCGCTAGTATTATTAGCAACTAAATAGCAGCTAATATTCTTGGACTTGTGTAGTAAAATGTTTCCTATATGAAATATCCATTAATCTTGGTAGCAGCCTGTTAGGAACGTTATGAACCCATTTTGCGGATGGGAAAACAAACTTACCAAGTACATGGTAGAAACAGATTTTGAACTGAGAAACCATGCTCCGAACTACCTTTTTGATAAGATAGAAATAGTGATCACACGTCCACTGTCCTGTTTAGGCTCAATTGAGGAAATATGAGTGTCCTCTTTCTCATGTTCTCAACAAATCCAGCTGGTACCGTCCTCAAAATAAATCTAGAATTGCTACTTCTACCATCTCCATCACTGCCTCATGGCCTAAGCCATTGTTACCTCAACTGGCATTTTTGTAGTAGGGTCCTAACTGGTCTTCTGCTCTCTGCCTTTGGATCGGCACCTGTTACCAAGCCAATAACCAGAGGAATCCTTTAAATATCGGATCACGTTACCCTCTGCAGAAAACTTCCTGGTGGCTTTCTACTTCACCCAGAGTAAAAAGCAAAATTCTTGCAATTATTTGCCCTCTTTCTCTTTACCTCTCTGACCAATTTCTCATTGCCCACCTGGCTCCAGTTACACTCTCTTCCGAGCCTCTGCCTCAGTCCTTTGCATTTGCTGCACGCTTTGCGGAGATTGCTCTTCTTCCCAAATGTTTACATGGGAAGAAGAGCAATCTACTTCTAAGCTCCTTCGAATATTTGCCCAACTATAACTTTTTTAGTAAGGGCTTTCCTGACCACCCTATTGTAAATTGCAGTACCCCATACTCTAGAACCCACATTGCTACTTTATTTTATTTATTCTCTCTCTTTTTTTTAATCCTCCCGCTTGAACATTATGGAGATATTTTATTTTTTTTTAGAATCTCCATGTGTTGCCCACTGGCTTAGTGCAACCTCAGCCTCCAGGGCTCAAGTGATCCTCCTGCCTCAGCCTCCTGAGTAGATGGGACCAGAGACACACACTACCACGCCTGGCGAATTGTATTTTGTGTGTGTGTGTGTAGAGACAGGATTTCATGCAGCCCACACATCGTGGCCTCCCAAAGTGCTGGGATTACAGGCATGAGCCAATGAATGTGCCCATCCTTCCTTTCTTTTTTTTTTTTTTTTTTTAATTTTTTTGAGATGGAGTCTCACTCTGTCACCCAGGCTGGAGTGCAGCGACACGATCTCAGCTCACTACAACCTGCACCTCCTAGGTTCAAGCAATTATTTGCCTCAGCTTCCCGAGTAGATGGGATTACAGGCGCCCACCACTACACCTGGCTAATGTTTTGTATTTTTAGTAGAGATGGGGTTTTACCATCTTGGCCAGGCTGGTCTTGAACTCCTGACCTCTCATGATCCACCCACCTCAGCCCCGCAAAGCGCCAGGATTACAGGCATGAGCCACCACGCCTGGCTCATCCCTTTATTTTCTCTATAGCACATGACACCAAGTACATATTTTGCTTGTTTTCGCTCACCCTCCTTCCAACTCTTTCCCTTTCCTACTGGAACAGCAAGGCCCATTGTTTATTTTGTTTGTTGCTGTTTGCCCAGTGCCTAGAACATAACCTTTGTTGTTGTTGTTGTTGTTGTTGTTGCTTTTTTTATTTGAGATGGAGTTGCGCTCTTGTTGCCCAGGCTAGAGTGGAATGGTGCAATCTTGGCTCACTGCAACCTCTCCCTCCCAAGCTCAAGCAATTCTCCTGCCTCAGCCTCCCAAGTGGCTGGGATTACAGGTCCCCGCCACCATGCCTGACTAATTTTTGTATTTTTAATAGAGACGGGGTTTCACTGTGTTGGTCAGGCTGGTCTCAAACTCCTGACCACAGGTGATCCACCCAGCTAACTTTTATATTTTTAGTAGAGACGGGGTTTCGCCATGTTGTTCAGGTTGGTCTCAAACTCCTGACCTCAGGTGATCTGCCCCCCTCGGCCTCCCAAAGTTCTGGGATTACAGGTGTGGGCCATCACGCCCGGCCTGCACATAGCATTTTTTAAAAATATGAATATGGCTGGGCGTGGTGACTCACGCTTGTAATCCCAACACTTTGGGAGGCCGAGGCAGGCGGATCACCTGAGGTCAGGAGTTCGAGACCAGCCTGACCAACATGGTGAAACCCCATCTTTACTAAAAATACATAAATTATCTGGGTGTGGTGGCAGACACTGTAATTCCAGCCACTGGGGAGGCTGAGACAGGAGAATTGCTTGAAGCTGTTAGGTGGAAGTCACAGTGAGCCGAGATCATGCCATTGTACTCTAGCCTGGGCAACAGAACAAGACTCCTTTTCATGAAATAAAATAGAAATAAATAAGTGAATTTGCTGGAAAGTACCGAAGACATTTGGGGATTTTGAGTAGTATACTTCTCCCATTTGACAAGTGAGCCTATCAGCCCAGATTTAGATGAATTGCCCAAATGTCGCCTTAGCATCCAAGACCATAATCAAAACTACTTCACTCATGCTGGGGATCTCTGTGCTATGAAAAAATAAATAAAAATAGGCTGGGTACAGTGGCTCAAGCCTATAATCCCGGCACTTTGGGAAGCCAAGGCAGTTGGATCACTGAGGCCAGGAGTTTGAGACCAGCATGGCCAACATGGTGAAACCCCATCTCTACTAAAAATACAAAAATTAGCCGGACATGATTGTGCACGCCTGTAATCTGGGCTACTCTGGAGGCTGAGGCACCAGATCCCTTGAACCTGGAAAGCAGAGGTTGCAGCGAGCCAAGGTCATGCCACTGTCCTCCTGCCTGGGTGGCTGAGTGAGACTGTCTCAAACAACAAAAATTAAAAATAAAACTATTTCACCCAGTACTCCATACCATGCAGGATTCTTGGGAAAGTCAGTTTCATCCTTTGTTAAATGAGCCAGGACAAGTAGAGTGGCTTATTCCTGTAATCTCAGTGCTTTGGGAGGTCAAGGACCAGGGTTTGAGACCAGCCTGGGCAATGTAGCAAGACCTCATCTCCACAAAAACTGAAAAAATTAGCACAGCATGCTAGTGCATGCCTGCAGTCCTGGCTACTCAGGAGGCTGAAGCAGGAGGATCACTTGAGCCCAGGAGTTTGAAGCTGCAGTACATCATGATCTCGCCACTGCATTCCAGCCTAGGTGACAATGCGAGACCCTGTACCCCGCAAAAAATTGGTTGTACAACAAGAGCCGAGAGAATGAACAAGAGAGTCATTATAAGAGGTAGATAATGGAAAGTTTCAGAAAGTACCAAATTGGAGGCATTCATGTGAGAAAAGGGGCCATTCTCTAAATCAGATGAAATCCACTTAATCATTCTTTCTCTGGTCTTTTCCTCCACTCCCTACCCCTAATATTGTACCCTTCTTTGCCCTAATGCAGTAGTTACGGTATGCTTCTCTTTTGTTTAGGGACCTCCAAGGTGTTCCTCCCTTCAAGCTCCAATCATGCTGCTCTCTGGACATGAAGGGGAAGTATACTGCTGCAAGTTCCACCCCAACGGATCCACCTTAGCATCTGCAGGATTTGACCGACTGATACGTGAGGCGTAGTTTTTAAATCTGGAATAATTTTTTCTGCCAGATAGTGATTTTTAAAAAATTTTGGGTGCCACAGAAGGTATCAGTCTATGTTAGCAACATAACAGGCTGCATGACTAATATGCTAAAATTGGGGTATGAACATGCTGAATGATCTTGGTTGTAGAACTTGGGGTCCAAAGGAGTTATTTTACTAGTTGGAAAGTGAGTTGTTCTGGTTTGAGAATATCTTCCTCTTATAGAAGCAAATCTCTGGTTGATTTACCAAGACACTTAGCAATCTAGACCTAACAGGTTTATGGGAGTAATGAGGAGAGAAATAACTTTTCTTTTCCCAAAGGTATAAGGTCCTCTTAATTCACACCCAGAATCCTAGCTAGCATATAGGAAAGTGGGAATCCTAAAGTGGTAACTCCCTTAAATAATCTACCTGTACATCATTAGGATCTGCTACTAGATTTCCATTTTTGAGAAATAAGTAGATTTCTCAATGCCCGTTTTTGAGAATTAAGTAGAAAAAGTTATTTCATTTATATTCCAGCAAATGAAGCCAGAATGAAAAAAATCATCTACTTCTGTTAGCTACTCTTGCCAGATTGTGAGATGAAATGAGTCCTTTGGCTGTTTTCTGTTAACCCTTTGCCTCAGGTGGATGATACCCATCTTCACTGCCCATTTTGATATGGATGTTCTGGCTCTGTGATCCTTAAGCTTACTAGTGGCCAAACGTCTGGATGGCTATGGATCTTTGCAAAACATATATGAATTATTGATATTCTTAATTTTATCAGAAAAACTACGTAGTTTTTTGTTGTTGTTGTTTGGTTGGTTGGTTTTTTGTTTTTTGTTTTTTGTTTTTTTTTTGGAGATGGAGTCTCACTCTGTCACCCAGGCTGGAGTGCAGTGACGCCATGTAATCTCTGCCTCCTGGGTTCAAGCAATTCTTGTGCCTCAGCCTCCCGAGTAGCTGGGATTACAGGTACCCGCCACCACACTCAGCTAATTTTTGTGCTTTAGTAGAGATGGGGTTTCACCATGTTGGCTAGGCTGGTCTCCAGCTTCTGACCTCCAGTGACCCACCCACCTCAGCCTCCCAAAATGCTGGGATTACAGGCATGAAGCACCACGCCCAGCCCAAACTACATAGTTTTATCAGTAGAAAAATAGCTTCATCTGTAGGTACCACTTATGTCTGTGGGTGATCCTTAATAACACTTACCAAACTGACTCTTGGCTAGACCAAACTCCCTCAGGATAGCAGCTGTGTCTACTCATTTACCCTAGCACCTGACATGTAGGTACTTTGTGCATATAGAATTAATAAATGTAATATAAAGTCATTACCATGTGAACTTTAATTATGGCCTTCTTAGGTTTTCCATAGTGCTGTCATTTGGCAGTCTGTCTTCAGACTCAGAGCTGACTTTAAAGGTTGGGTGCTGGCCGAGTGTGGTGGCTCATGCCTGTAATCCTAACACTTTGGGAGGTTGAGATCAGCAGATTGCCTGAGCTCAGGAGTTTGAGACCAGCCTGGGCAACATGGTGAAACCCTATCTCTACTAAATACAAAAAAAAATCAGCCAGATGTGGTGGCAGCACCTGTATCTCAGCTACATAGGAGGCTGAGGCATGAGAATTGCTTGAATCCAGGAGGCAGAGGTTGCAATTGGCGGAGACCATGCGACTGCACTCCAGCCTGGGCAACAAAGTGAAGCTCTTGTCTCAAAAAAAAAAAAAAAAGTTGGATGCTTTTTTAAAGTTACAGGAGAAAAAAAAT